CCGACCTCCCCGGGCCCACCACACTTCCTTGCCGTGTCTCTTGCCACAGGAAAGGGAGTGCTATTCCCGTTTTATTTTTAAAGGTATAGGTGGAGAAGCTCCCGAACAGAATGTGGAGATCACCTCAAGGTCACTACTGTCCCGAAGTTCTCTGTGCCAGGCGTCCTGAATGGACGTGACTCCACCCACCCCTCCCCGGGTGCTTCGGCTCCGCACCAGGGAGCTGGGGACAGGGTCCTGGAGAATGTGTGCTCGCCCAACTTGTTCTCAGAGCCTGCATGCCGGAAATGACAGCGGGACCCCACAGACTGCTCCGGCTCGCCAGTGGCTGGCCACAGCTGACCACAGCCCACAAGCCACACCATGGCCCAGCCACTACAAACTGCCCGCATGTCCCCAAAAGGGACCAGCTGGGATCTTCTCCAGGGCCGCTGGTGCGGAGCCCATGTTGTCTTGCTGGGTGGCTCCTAGCCTCCCTCCACCTGCAGCCTCCAGCCAGAACCTAGAACCCCAGGTCCAGGCTGTCTGTCCCCCGCCACCCTCCATGGCTCTCCATCACCACACGGGCCTGCCCCTCCCCCCAGGCTCATGGGGACAGCCCAGGTCACCGCCTGTCCCCAGCTCCCAGCCCGCCAGGTGAGCACCAGGTAAAGATTCTTTTATCTGTCTCCTAGGCCCTCCAAGCTCCTGGGCACCACCCTACTCTGCTACCCTGGGGTAGAGGACAAGGTGGGTCACCTGGATTTTCTCCTTCAAGAAACTGAGCCGAGAGCCCAGACGCTGGGGGTGGGCTGGGCTCACAACAGGGCCCGGGGTCCTTCCAGACTCTGGCATGGAGGGCCCTGAGGCACTGCCCCAGCAGCTCTGGGAGCCGTTCCTGGAGACGCATCAGTGAACAAAGACCAGGGTTCGCCCCCTGAGCTTTACCCTTTGGCGTTTGACTTGGGGCTGGAAAACGCAGTGTTGTGTGTGGGGACCACTGGTCCGCTGCAGGGCGCTTCCCAGAACCCTGGCCTCCACGCACTGGAAGTTAGGGTCACCCTGACCCCCAGTGGTGACCACCCAAAGTGCCCCCAGACACTGCCACCGTCCCCCGGGGCAGAACCACCCCCCAGTGGGTTCAAACTGCCGAGAAGCGGCTGCTGAGTCAGCCTGTGCTTCTCAACTGCAAAATGGGGGGGGGGGGGAACCCTACCTTGCAGGTGACTTGTGGGCAGGTGAAAACTCATACCTGGCAGGGCTGACTTCCACAACTTGTCGCCAGGCAGGAGATTAGCAGGCTGCTATGCGGGGCCACACAGCGCCCACGCAGCCCGTCACTCTGCAAAGACGGGGCTGTCCGGAGGGAGACCGAGGGATGCACAGACAGCGGTTTAGGACGCGGAGGCATCTCTCCCTGAATCGTTTAAAGTCACAAAAGGGACAACGCTTCCCACCTTCGGCTCCAGGTCGCAGTCACCTAGCGATGTCGCCAGATCTGGTTTCGAAGTCTGTCAACAGCCTGCTCGTTCATTAACCACCTCTGCATCAGGAGATGGCCAGGCCCAGGGACCCAGAGCACAAGCCACAGACCGGGAGAGAGTGTCTGCAGAGGACTTTCGGATAAAGGGGGGGGGTACCCGAAATGTACCGGGAACTCTTAAAATTCAGCAGCAAGACATCAAACAACTCAATCACACAGCGAGCCAGAGACCTGCACAGCTGTCACTCCAGCAGAGACTCGGATGGCACGTCACACGAACCTAAAACTGCTCCAAAACGTACATTTGCCCCCCCAAAACTAGACAATCAGGGACCTGGATTCCCTTCACATTTTCCCCCCAAAGAAAAGGAGCCTCCATGTGGTTCTGGCGGCCTTGGCTGGGAGCAGGCCTGTGCTGGTCACAGGCGTGGGCGGGGCCCGGGGGCTGGTGGCGGGCACCTGCGTGGAGCAGACTCCATCTGGCCCCTTCCCTCCAGGGCTTCACTGGCTGCCGAGCTGGCGGCCTCACCCCTCAGAGGATTCTCCCCGTTTGCTGGGGCAAACCTGGGGCACCCCCTGCCCAGCCTCTGGCCAGGTGTGCCCAGGGGAACTCTCTAGGTGGCCCCCAGGGGGCCATCACGTGGGGAACCCCTCCTCGCACCTGCTTGGCTGGCGCCTGTGAAACCAACCCAGCTGTTAACACCTTGCTCCTGAGAGTCCCCGGGCCTTCTAAGGGGAGCGCTGAGCTTTTTTCCCCCCAGCGCTCCCTGCCACTTTTCCTGACACCCGGTTAGTCACAGTTCCATTTCCTGCCCCAGGCCACCACATGACATAATTTGGGTCCCTCCCTGGGACGTGGGCCTTAACCACCCCGTGAAATTGTCCACAGACACGCCAGCGCCAGTTCCTCAGCCTTTCCTGAAGCAGTCGGTCGCCCTGAGGGAGGGCACCTGCCCACCTGCCCTGTCAAAACCATGAGCCCCGCCACCAGCCTGGGTGGGGTCACATGCCCCAGGCTCCCCAAACCGCTCCCCAAAACTCTGACTTCTGGACAGGACTGCCCCCTCCTCCCTGACAAGGGCCTCCCCTCCGCCCACCCTGAACGCGATGTCAACTTTCTAACAAAGGAGGAAACGAAACCCGCAGTGCAGCTGGCAGCGCCCGGCAAGCCCCGAAACCCCCTCTTCCCGATCCTTCCTAGGAAGGCAGGTCAGCGCCACCCCCAGGGTCCCAAAGTCTGGGCCAGGACCAGCTCCTGCGCCCTGTGAATGGAGGGGAGGGCAAGCGGCCAGGACAGCAGGCCTGCAGGAGGGCTGGCCGCCGTCAGCAACTCAGGACCCCATTACCGGTCTTCGCCTGGCCTCCGCGGACGACCCCTCCTCTCTCTCCCCCATAGACCGGACGGTCCAGCCTTCCCCCAAGTGCTGTGTCGGGGCCCAATCACACTTCGAAGCCTTGGGCTTCTGTGGGGGACCCCTAAGGGTCCCAGGCACCCCAACCTGGAGAACCGAAGCAGGGGATCCAGCAGCCTCATCCAGGCGCAGTGCCTTCTGCTGGGCTCATGTGGATTCTGCTTCTCCAGGGTGCCTGTGGCTCCGGGGTGCCTGTGACTCTGGGGTGCAGGCGCAGTGGGTGAAACCAGGGGCCCCCGCCCCCCCCAGCACACGCTGCCTGTCACTTCAGAAGGATGAACGGAGCTTTGCCCTGGGACTCGGGAGCAGCCCACAGCTCCAGGCCCACTCCCTTTGTGTTCCAAGAGCATCAGTGCCTCCTACAAAAAGTGGCAATGGCCCAGAACATGCCGCTCACTTGCTGCTCCGTGCAAGATGTTTTTCCCGGCTCCTTCTGGTCTCAGCCCCAACATCACCTGTGCTGAGGCCGTTCCCAGACACTCTGATTTGTCTGGTTACCTTTCCCTTTAAGATTTTATTTATATTCGGAGAGAGGGGAAGGAAGAGAGAGACACATGAGTGTGCAAAAGACACATCAGTTGGTTGCCTCCTGCACACACCCAACCGGGGACCTGGCTGGCAACCCAGGCATGTGCCCTGACAGAATCGAAACAGAGACCTTTCGGTTCACAGGCCGGCACTCAGTCCACTGAGCCACACCAGCCAGGGCTGGTTACCGTTTCTTCATGGAACCGTATCAGTGCGCGTGGTCTGTTTAGTACAGATGGCTCCGGGTTCCAGGGGAGCTGGCGCCTGGTCTAGCTCCCCCCCTGGGGTCCTCCAGGGGAAGGCGCTGGGACAGGGAGCCTCACGTCTGTGATTGCTCTCAGGCATGAACAGGAATTGAAAGGACGTTAAGGATGCGGGTGGGAGAGGCAGCAGGAATGACGAAGCGACTCACAAGACCCACTGGGCCCTTCCCCTGAAGCCTGAGGGAGGGGCAGCCAGTCTGCTCCAGAGGACACCGCTAAAGGCGACAAGGCCCTGCCCTCTGGGACCCTGGTCCTCGAATTTGTTAAAGGCGTCCCAGGGGAGATGCCCAGGACAGAGGTGCCTGGGGACCGTGTAGGAGGCAAGTCCGCTCCTAGGTCTAGGCGGAAGGAAATCCCTCTGCTCACCCCGAACGCCAGGGGCTTGCTGTCCCCACACCCGCCCCAGGCCAGCCTCTGGCCCACCTGCCTTCTCACAGCGCCCCCCCCGCCCCACCCCCATCCCCCGCTGGAAAATTGAAGAATGGGGCCCTGGAGAAAGCAGTGTGAGCACACACACAAGGCGCCAAGGGTGACGCCCCTCGCGACTCTAAAAAACGTGTAACAGGAGGCAGGTAGCTTTTTAGAATTCTTTACACGGGCACATGAAGTACAACTATGGGCGGACGGGTGGGGGGTGGAGGGCTCCGCGGTCTGGGTGAGCAGGACCCCCCCCCCCACCCCCGGCCGCGGCCTCCGGCCCCGCCTCCCCCCATCCCAACACGCTCCACACACACCCGTGCAGGGCAGGGGCCGCAGGCGCACGCGCCCCAAGGACAACAAGAGGCCAGCCGGGCCCGGTCGGCATAAGGGTCCAGTAACTGCTCATGGAACGGGGGTCACGGCGCAGGAGTTCTAGCAGCCTAGCGGCAGAAGAACGGGGCTCAATAAATGGCGACTCCCGCAGGGCTGGGCGCGGGGCTGGGCGCGTGCCCGAGCTCGCTAGACGCCGGCTCCCAGTCCTGCCCGCAGCAGGAGCTGGCGCGGCGTTTCAATGACGCAAGAGCCCAGCGGGGGCTCCGCGAGCCGCAGCGGGCGGGGGCAGCCTGGCAGGTTCAAGTGGTGTTTAAAGGTCTCGGAGAGGAAGAAGGAACAAGGGTCAAAGCCTGTCCCAAAGGTCGCGGCTGCGCGCCACGCCGGACGCAACTCCCGGGCGCGTGCGCGGGACATGTGGTCCCGGCGGGGATCGCGGAGGCGCGCTCCGGGACGCTAGGTCCTGGCGGGGATCGGGGCGCGCTCGGGGACGCGTAGTCCCAGCGGAACTCGGTGGCGAGCGCGGGGACGCGTGGTCTTGGCGGGGCGCAGGCGCAGCTGGAGGCCCACGGCGGGCACACTCACCCTCCCTGGCCTTCTTCTTCCTCGCCAGCGTACCGCCCAGCTTGCCCAAGAACGACTCCTCTTTTTTCATCTTCGCGGGCCTCACGGGGGGCGAGCGCAGCAACACCGAGGACATGGGCCGCGGAGGCACCAGCGGCAGGGCAGGAGCGCAGCGCGTGGGGGAGCTGCTTAGTAGCTGCCCCGCCGCTGCCCGCTCTCCCCGGGGAGTGGCCGGAGGGCGCGGCCCCAGCGCCAGCCCCCGCCCCGCCCCGGTCCTGCAGCGTCCGCTGCTAGAGGTCTGCCTGGACCCGGCTGTGCGGTCAGCGCTCCCAGCCCACGGGCTGTTCCCACGCTGCGCTCACTCTCAGAGTAGTGAAGGGGCGGTGCGGCTCGACAGGCCGAGGCTGGGACAGACCCCTGGGGCTCACCCACATCCTTTTGTTCTGCTGATGCTGCTGGGCAGCGGGGGCAGCCGCGGCCTTGGCGTGGCCCACGTGCATCAAGTCCCTAAACCAACAGGCCCTTCACCTGCTCAGCCTCTGCCCAGAACCAGACCTGGGGTTGGAGGAAGCCCCGGGGAATGTCCCCGTCCTAGGCGAGCAGGGGTTTTTCCTGGGGAGATGACGTCGTGTAGCCACAGGAAACAGCTCGGCAGTGCTCCCAGAGCCACTGTTCGGCCAGGGACAGTGTGGGGGCTCCAGGCAGGGGAGAGTGAAGACAAGGGAGCGAGGCTGGCCTGGGAAATACTGAAAGCCGAGGAAGGGATTTGGGGTGCACGCTGACGCGATCCCATTTGTGTCCAAAGCAAACTCACGGATGTGTCACCAGCAAGCGCTGGAGTGAAGGCCAGAGCTGGCAGACCAGTGCCCGGGCCACAGGGACTTAGGAGACAAGTGCTGTCGGTGGAGCCTCAGACTGGGAGGGGTGGGCCCAGGACGACGGGTGGGGTCAGCCACGCACAGATGGGGCCTGTCGGAGGAGGTCTGACCTCCGAGGGCAGGAAGGTCTGTGTCCGCCCCTGTGGGTGGGGTTGTCCCCTCTCCCTGCATGTTGGCGCCTCACAGCATACATCACTCCTTCAGTTCCCTTCCGCAAACTTTGATGGTGGCCTCCAGGACGCCAGGCCCCCTCCTTCTGCTGCGGGTGCCCAGGCCACAGAGACAGAGCCTGGCCATCCAGGAATTTGTGCTCCAGGAGAACGAGGCCCCAGTGACACAGGATGCAAGAGTCATACCACTAGGGATCCCTCAAGGTGGATGGGAGCTGCAGGAAGAGGGGGTGTGGGAAGCCGGGGGGGGGGGGACACAGGGGTGAGGAGGCTGGTCGGGCAGGGGCATCCGACGGGGCCAAGGGTGAATAACGTCTTGCCTGCCTGCAGTAAAGGAAGAGAGGACCCGGCACACAGAAGGGAAGGGAGAACAGGGGCAAGGGCCCTCGTCCCTGGGGACTGTGACAGGGCGGGACAGGAACAGCAGGCTTCCCGGTGTGGACTGGCAGAGGGCAGGGAGAGGACCCAGCGCCCCTGGACGCGTGTGAGCAGGCGTGAGTGCCACAGAGGACGAGGGAGCCAAGCCCTGGCCAGCGATGGACGAGGCAGCTGCTGCAGCAGGCCAGGCCGGCGCTGCCCTGCTGAGCACAGAGGCCTCAGCGAGGGGCGGGGACAGGCAAGAACGGCCTTGCGGGGCTGCAGCCCACAGCATTCGGACCTTTCATGGGATGCCGGGGTTTGGGACAGGAAAGGTCAGAGGTCTCTGAGGCTTCATGTGACCCAATTTTGGATGTCTCGAACCAAGCTGGGGGGGACCCGAAGGTGGTAAATTTGGCTACTGAGATCCCAATGGGATCCTGGCAGAGTCCGGGCTTGTACTCTGCCTGTTGGAGGGACAGTGTCAGCTAGGGGAGGGGTCTACTCTAGAGAAACGCACAGACCAGGTGTTACATCTCAGGGGGGCCAACCGGTGGCCCGCTGGCCACATGTGGCCCAGGACAGCTGTGAATGCAGCTCAACACAGGATCATCAATTTACCTAAAACACTGAGACTTTTTCATGATTACATGTAGCAGTGTATGTAATGTGTGGCCCAAGACAACTCCACTTCCAGCCTGGCCCAGAGACGCCAAAAGTTTGGACACCCCCAACAGTGTTTCGGGTGACCCCGGGTGCACGCACAGACCCCACGTAGAGCCTGTGATGGGAGGGAGGAGCCGGAGAGCAGCCCTGGGAAAGAAAACAGAGACACTTGGCTGCAGGGCCCGAGGACCAGCGGAGGCCAAGGAGGCCGAGCAGCCACTGGCTGCACAGGCGAGGCGCTGGAAGGAGCGGGTCGAAGGTCTCGGGGTGTCCAGCCTCCCAGTTTCCCACAGAAGTTGCGACGGCTCGACTGAACGCTGCGAAGCGGGTGGGATCCTACTTTTCACCCGTGGCAGGACGTTGCGGGAGAATTTCTCTGGAGGTCGACACCTGCGCCCTGACAGTTGTCCACCCACTTCCAGTGGGACCGCTCCCTATGAACAGCGGATTCTAGGTTGAAAGAGGAACTGACCTGGGCCTCACATGGTAGCAGAGTTCCTGGAATTTTGTAGGCATCTTTGTATAAAAAGCATAATCCTATTGCAAATGCCAGTGTGGTACTTATTACTAAGAAACTCATGCAAAGCGGCTCCTTCTGGGACAGTTGGCGATGCGCCCACCCCCAGTGCAGGCCCACCTCTGCAGGCAGCCGTCCCGACTCCCTGCCCCCGCCCCCGCCCCTGCTCCCACGTGCTGTATCTGCCTTGCACCTCCTGGGCTGGAGAACAGGATGATTTCTTGTCTAATGCAGCTGGGAAGACTTAAAAAAATATATTGTGTGAGTTGTAATGGATTTGTTTTCTCTCCTGTGTGCTGCAGAGGAGAGTCGAGAATGGATTAGTCTGTTTTCTTTCAGGGCCAGAGGAAGGAGTAACAAATGATCTCACCCCCCAGACTTCCCCTCCTTCCTGGCCGGCCCCGGGGGAGTTTACACGCATTCTCCAGCACGCTCTCTGGGGCTGTCATCTAACAAAGCGACTTTCCAAACAGCTTTTCAGAGCAGTAAACAAATATTCACTTGAAGTTCGGAAAGTGTTGGTTTGCAATTAACAAAAGAATTTGCCCTGGCTGGTGTGGCTCAGTGGGTTGGGTGTTGTCCCACAGGGTGAAGGGTCGCCAGTTCAGTTCCCAGTCAGGGCAGGTGTCTGGGTTTTGGGCCAGGTCCCCAGGAGGGGGCGTGCGTGAGGCAACCAAATGACGGTTCTCTCCTTCACTCCCTCCCCCTCTCTCCAAAAATGAATAAGTAAAATCTTTAAAAAAATAATAAAAATGTAAAAAACAACCTTTTAACAGGAAGCAGACCTAGGACCTTAGTTCAGTCCCCATCAGCTCTGTCTTCCTTAGCCTGCTACACACGTCTCTCCAGCCACATCCTACATCTGGAGCATAAGTACAAAACGCAGATCACGTACAGCAGCGCCTCTTAAAGGAAACCGGTCGCTTTGCTTTTGAACCGTGGCTCTCAGGCCACCTTCTCTGAAGCTTAGTTAAGGGCGAGGAACAAACATCCCAGGTGGGCGTGCGGGGCCCCCCACTGTGATCTCGGTGGGCCTCGGTCACTCGTCCTTGCCGCCTGTCCCGGGAATGGACAGGCCCGGGTGATGCAACGGTGCGACTGACCCCAACACTTCACCGGAGGCAGACCAAATAAACCGCCTCGAACGGGACAAGCCAGGAGAATTGACGGGCCAGCTGGCACAGTCCTACAGTGGAATATGACTGAGCGACCCAAAGGGAACTACCCGGCCTGGCTCGGCCTCGGGGGACTGGGTGTCAGCCACAAACCGAAAGGTCGCTGGCTCGATTCCAGTCAGGGCAGTGCCTGGATTGAGGGTTCAGTCCCAAGTTGGGGCACACACAGAAGGCAACCAGTTGATGTTTCTCTCTCACATAAATGTTTCTTTCTCTCTCTTTCTCCCTCCCTTCCCGTCTCTCTAAAATAAAAAAGGTAGAAATAATAATAACAAAAAAAGAACAAGAGTATAGGTGTATCTCAAAACCACAGTGAGCAAAAGAAACCAGACATCAGAGTACATGCTGAGTGAATTCACTTATTTGAAGTTCAAGTACAGGCAGCCTCTTTTCCACGATGCGCGCGGTCTCCTCGAGGGCAGAGGCAGCTCTGGGTGATGCGGCCCTGCTGGATCTCGGTGGAGGTGGCGGGCACACGGCTGCACGCCTGAGTACACATCCTGCCACGCGCACCGAGGAGTGGGGCACCGTGCACTGCCTGCCGGTTTAAGCCTCCAAAGTCCCGGGGGAAAGGAAGTAACTAGATGACACACCTCAGCAGGATAAGCTGAGGTCTCCACCTCACCGACTCTCACTCCGTACCAGCTTGCCTCTTTAAATACCAGGGCGGCTCACCGGGCACTCAGAGAGACTCGCACCAGCGGCATGCTTCTCCCACTTCCCTTTCTTACATCGAAAGAGAAGAGACATCTTTCGGAAACTTAAAAGAGCTCTTTGCTCTTTGGGAGAGGAATGGGATCTCACTCGAGGGCGTTCCGAGGCTGTGGGAAGCACGTGGAGAGATGAGGGGAACGCTGGGCTGAGTCAGTGATGGAGGGCGCCCTATGGCCCCAGGTGAGGCTTCTGACGAGCGCCCCTGTGCTTTGGGGCAGCGTTGGGGGTGGGCTGTAATCATAGCATCCAGAGCAGCCCCGTGAACGGTATAATTTCACCAGTTTGCCGACATCCCGGGATCTGGCCAGACAGTAACCCGTGATTTGCGCTGTGACCACTCAGAACGTGAAAAAGATGACCCAACTCGCCTGGAATTTTAAAGCTGTGTGGGGAACACTCTGTCCCCGTGTGAGCCAAACACAAATCACCGACTGCGGCGTTCAACAGCCATCCATCCGCTCAAGTGATTTCGGAAATGTCAGCAGACCTGGAGACCAGGGAAGTCGGCTTTGCTTTTACTAGCAACTCCTCTGAGTTTCGTTTTCGCAGAGGAGGCAAAATGCACCACATACGCGCTTGGATCCCCTGAAGATTTCGTAGAAGAGGAATGAATGAGAAGTTGGCGCTGGGTCATTGATTCCTAGTCTATCTACTAGGGAGAATTGGTAAAGCCCCTAAAAGATTATACATTCAGAGAGCAAACTGCTTAAAAACAAAACAAACAAACAAAAAACCAGTAGAATAAAGGCAGGCCTATTAGATGTTCACACTTTAGTCTGAATTCCTTTCACCATCCATTTGCCATATGTTTATCACCTGCCTGCAAAAATAAAAGGCTTTGCTTTCCTCCTGCCACTGAACTAGAAAGCAGCAGGGAATCAGAGCTGATCTTTGGGTGCAGGGGGAATGATGCAGGGTGGGCCACTTCAGGACAGGGAACCTGCTGCAGGCTGCTGGGCAGTGGGGCGGGACACTCGGCCACCCCACACCAGGAGAGCATTGCTCGGGCACAGTGGTCCAGGGCAGGGGTCTGTAAGGGGCCAGACGGTGAATACTTTTGATTC